CCCCGCACACAAGTCAACGGGATTATGAGCCCAAAACAGCCGTTGCTTTATACAATTCCGATTCGAGCCCGCAGACGAGCGGGGCGGGGCTGGGCGGGGTGTCCCGAGGACCAAGCCACGAGATTCAGCCTTTTAGTCCAGCCCTTCCCCTGGCACTGAAATAGAGTGTCGTGCGCCTCCGGAGTCCAACAGGCAGGTGCCCAGGTTTTCTTTCCCTGAATTTGTCCGATTTTATCGGATTTTATACAAACCTTATGGAGTCTTTATCATTTCTCCTACCTAAATGTTCGCCTACCAGTCTATTTCGCCTAACTAATAAAAAAATTTAATAAAAAATATTCAACAAAAAAAAACGAAAAAAATCGGCGGCAAAAAGTGGCAATACGAAAGTCTCAAGGAGACCCGCCGATCAGCTTCGGTGTTCTTATGGGAACCGGGCCTTCATCCGACGCTCCCTGCCGCGCAATTCGACAGATTAGTGGGTTCGTATTAGGCTGGCCCACCCGAAGTGCGCGCGGTTTCTGTGGTACAGTGAGAGTCCAGATTCAGAGGCCTTACCTCAGAGGGGTCACATTGGGTATTTGAACCCGCGACCCCGAGTGCCGAGTCTAGTCAACTCCTCTACCCTGACCGCTCAGCCACCGAACCAGCTTGTCATCGGCGATGTCGCAACTCCTCTTGAGCTGCCGTTCGAGAAATCTGGTCCCGAAAAAATGGAACTTTGAGCGGTCTCGAACCCGGGACCTGCTGCTTCCCACATCATGCTCTTAACCACTGAGCCACCGGGACGCCATGGCACCCGCCCTGCCTGCGCTGGTACTCAATCTTCTCTGAATATACCTCCCCAAGCAATTGGTCGCCGAAAAAATTGTGTATACTACCGGTCCCGAACCCAGGACCTGCCGCTTCCCACATCATGCTCTTAACCACTGAGCCACCGGGACGCCATGGCACCCGCCTTGCCAGCGCCGGTACCCAATCTTCTCTGGATATACCTCCCCAAGCAAGTGGTCGCCGAAAAAATTGTTTATGCTACCGGTCCCGAACCCGCGACCTGCCGCTTCCCACAACAAGCTCTTTACCATTGAGCTACCGGAGGATCGTGGTGGCTGCACTGCCAGCGCTGGTACTCAATCCTCTCCGAATAGACCTCGTCAAGAAGTCGGTTGCCTTTGCCGAAAAATATGCTCACGGTACTAGTCTCGAACCCGAGACCTGCCAGTCAGGTACGCAGCACTCTAACCACTGCGCTACCAGGTTGCTATGCACGCCACCTACCTATACTTAGAGTGTACTCGTGATTTTTTTTGCCCGCACGGCGTGTTTTATGTTTCTTCTTCGGTCGCAGTCCCGCTCCGCTCCTCGCAGTGTATCTGCTGTTATCGGTCTGTTGCGATGAACCAATATCTGCGAGGCGGGGTGCGGCGCCACGCGGCGAGTGCTCGGGTACTGGTACGCCTTTTCTATTTCAGTGAGGCGGGGCGGGGCGGGGCGGGGACTGGAATGGGGACTGGAATAAGAACGAGATGAACCGGGGTGCGATTTACTCAACGGTGTGTGCTCTCCAGTCTCTCCACGCCCAGTGAGCCCTTTGCCCCCCCCCCTCTCTCTCTCTCTCTCTCTCTCTCTCTCTCTCTCTCTCTCTCTCTCCTCTGTCCCTTTTTCATCTCTAAACAAATGCGCACACATCCCGGACGCTCTGTCTATCAGAACCCGCGCTGCTTTTGTGGAAATCTGCTTTGAGCAGAACCTGCAGGCTGCGGCTTGGCGTTCGGTTCGAGTCCCATTTAGCGACTCTGGAGCTCAAAACGCTTCTCGAATTTCGGCCGCTCCACCGGTCTTCTGGCCCACTGTGCAACGGACCGCGGGGACTCTCGATCCACTTTTAAAGTGTTGTTGTGCTTGTATTGAGGCAGCCACCTCCCGATCGACGGGCTGGCACACCGTCGGGACGCACTCCAGCGGGCGCGCCCACACCGGAAGTAGGAAGAAATAACGGAAGGCCGAAACGACATGAGAAATGTACGCGCCTCTGTCGCGCGGAGCGCATCCGCAGCGGATACTCTTTATGGCCGGCTGTCATCTCACTTTCGGCTTTTTTTTTCTGTCATTTTCTTTTTTTAAGTGTCGTGTCGCTAAAAGACACCTTTTCAGGTCTGCATGCAGTGCGCAATGAGACCAATGAGTGGACAGGGTGTCTTTGTTTTAGTTGAGTTAGTTCCATTCTGAAACTTGTCAGTGTGACGACAATTGTCGCAGGTGACACTTCATCTCCCGGTCTGCTGCTGCGTTGCAAGCACACAGTGTAGTGTCCTTGCCTTGGCTTCGCGGTGGTGGCCTCGCCCCAGATCTTGCCCCTGTCAGTGGCCTTCCGGCATGTGGCCGTCACGGGGTCAGTGGTCCCCGCGCCTCTGGTTTCCCGCCGGCGCTTCGTCTCTTCTCTCGTACTCCCTGTCACCGCTCCTCTGTCGCTTCCCTCCGCCTGCTCTCTCTCTCTCTCTCTCTCTCTCTCTCTCTCTCTCTCTCTGTCGGTGCCACGCGCTGAGGTACCTCTCGTCCCCCCGAGGACCGCCTCCAGGCGCCCTCCCAGGCCCCCTCCGCCCTCCAGGACCCCTCCAGGACCCCTCCAGGTCGGTCCCTCCAGGGGGGGGGACCTCCAGGGCGCCCTCCGGCAGCGCCTCTCCAGGAGAGGTCCAGGACCGCTCCAGCCCTCGGGGCCACTCCGTGTCGGGTGGTGGGGACTCCGAGGGGACCTCCGGGGCAGTAAACATGTCTCGAAACGAAATAATGAGATGATGTATGTGTGGATGGAGGAAGTCGGTTGCCTACCTCGAGTCGGCCCGAGTCGGCCCGGCTCGGCTCGGCATGGCGTGGAACAAATCAGCAGGCCGGCCGAGATTTCCCAGGAGGGCTTCACAAGCGGCGCGGCGGCCAAGCGGCGCCAAGCGGCGCGAGGCGAAGCGCCCGCGAAGCGCCCAGCCCAGCCGGCCCAGGAAAAATGCGTCCACTTTGTTTTGTTTCGCACCGCGCGGCTCTTAGCGGTTTCCCCCCCCCCCCCCCACCACCACCACCACACTGCCTCGCTCGTTCATTTGAAAGAATGCGAGCGTCGGCCTCGCCGGCCTCGCCTGTGGTGGCGGCAATTTTATGATGCTCGCCGATCCCGTGGTCGCGGCCAGACTTCGCGATACGCTTCCTCCCCCCCCCCTTTCCCCTCACTCTTTCTGTCTGTCTCTCTCTCGGCCCGCTCAATCCCGGCGGACATCTAGCTTCAACGCGACTGCAGTGGGGTGGTCACAGCGGTGTTGATGCTGACCCTGTCGTTCTGTCTTCGTCTATCAGAGTAGAGAAGTTTTTTGTTTTTGCTGTGTTCTGTCTGCTTTTTGGGCGGCCAGCGCCTTACGAGCGCCTGCCGAGTGGCGGGTAGGCCAGCCCGCCACACTGCCGTGCGCAGTGTTGCCTACCTCGCAGGGCGGCTAGCGCCTGCCGAGTGGCGGGTAGGCCAGCCCGCCACACTGCCGTGCGCAGTGTTGCCTACCTCGCAGGGCGGCTAGCGCCTGCCGAGTGGCGGGTAGGCCAGCCCGCCACACTGCCGTGCGCAGTGTTGCCTACCTCGCAGGGCGGCTAGCGCCTGCCGAGTGGCGGGTAGGCCAGCCCGCCACACTGCCGTGCGCAGTGTTGCCTACCTCGCAGGGCGGCTAGCGCCTGCCGAGTGGCGGGTAGGCCAGCCCGCCACACTGCCGCGCGCAGTGTTGCCTAACCTCCAGGCGCCAAGGCCCGGCCGCGCGAGCCGTGTCCGCATCGCCGGGCATGTTTTCCTTATTCATGAAGCAGCTTAAGGTTAAGTAGCCCGGCCGGGAGACACCGCCTCTTAATGAAGCGAGTGAGTCTGCCTGGCCGAGCCTGGCCGAGCCGCACCCCGATGGTGGCCCTCAATCTGGCCGTGACGCCGTGCGCACACTGCCAAGCCGTACGGTGGGCCAGAGGACCGGTGGAGGCGCCCAAAACCCCAGACGCGTTTTGAGCTCCAGAGTCGCTAAGCAGGACTCGAACCGAACGTGTGACCCCACCAATGGAGTCCTCGTTCGGAGAGCAGTCCATTGGTGGGGTCACACGTTCGATTCGAGGCCTGTTCACCGACTCTGGAGCTCAAAACGCGTCCGGCATTGTCGCCGCCTCCACCGGTCGTCTGGCCCACTGTGCGCCGCGGGACACTGCGGGAGTCCGCGGGGCGCCCTCCTGCATCTATTAATACAAAACGCGCCGATAGTCACCCCGGGCCGCCCCGCCGCCACGGAATTAGAATGGCGCGCCCTCTAAATAGAAGGCGGCCACCCCCGCCCCGCCCCGTGCACTCTCCGCGACCATGCCGACCAACACCCCCGCTGCGGCCGTCGCTGCAGCCCGATGTGGGACGTGGAGGCGGGGCGGCGTGGCGCCGGCACACAAACACACACGTGTCTCCGCACACGCACGCACGAGCGCACACTCAAACAAAAAGACCCACACCCTCTGTCCCGGCACGCGCGCGGGGAGCGAAACGACTGGGATTTTTCCGCGTCCATGGGGCAATTAATTATTGCGCGTTTGTTGGTAAACTGTTCGCATTTGTTCGTGTGGTCCATCTCTTGTTCGGAGAGCAATTTATTGGTGGGGTCGTACGTTCGGATTCGAGACCCATCCAGCGATTCTGGAGCTCAAAACGCGTCTAAAGTTTTGGCCGCCTCTACCGGTCTTCTGGGCCACTGTGAGACGGCGAGACGAAAATCCAGTGTGGCAGCTCGCAGAGCCAGCGCCCCCTATTGAGGGGTCGCGGAATCACCTCCAGGGGCAAATACTCCGCGCTAGAGGCACTGCTCCATGGTGTATCGTCGTCGATGCAAGAAGCAAGAAGCACACCAGCGTACCCTCTGAGGTGGACTTGTCTTATGCCATTAAGGAAGGGTGTATCCAATAATAGAGGGTGGCGCCAAATAGGCCCACAGTGAAAGCGCCTCGCGTGAACCAGAAATTGATTTTATTTAAGAGCACAGCCTTTTTCACAATAAAATTAATGTAAAGCAGGAACATTGTCGACAAGGACACTTCAAACTTCACTATATAATATCACATTCTTTGTAAAGATAGTTTTGATCAGCAGATGAGAAAACATTATAAAATAAACATCACATTGGTAAAAGCAATTGATGTGCAGAAATGATAAACATATGCTTACTCATGCACGTACATCACGTTAACTAAAAAAATGTTTTTAATAAATTAAGAACATAAAAATGGAATGAACTAGTGGGCAATTTTACCCTTAAATCTATTGACACACAACCTGTGACAAGTCAAATACATAGCCAAATTTCATCTTGGTGATGGGTACTTCAGAGTCAAATTAAAAAATCTTTCCATTCAGAGCCAGGACCTTAGGGTGGTTTCGCACTGCAAAACAAGGTTCTGGTGAAAACCCTGTGCAAATCAGGAAGAATCAAAGACACTTGCAAGACTTTTAAATATAGTACTTAGTTAAAATGGAAGAAATGCTATATATGTTTCAAAAGGCATGACAAGAAAATTACAAGGAAGGCGAGGAACAATATGATAACATTGTTCTGATACTTAAAATAAATGATTGATACTTGATATACCACTGATGGGAAGGAAAAGGATTTACAAATGTAAAATAGTAATTGCTTTGAACTACACAAGATTCCCTGACACATACATGGGAATAATTGAAATGCAGAGAAAGATCAAAATTCAACTCACCATGAATCTGAATTAGGGCACTAAAAAATGATCCTTTGATATTTGTCACGTAAAGTGTGGAATGCTTCAATGGAAAATCAACTGGAACCCAATAATATGACAATGCTAGGATAATTAAGTTCACACAACTGAAGTAGCATTATTTGACTTGCCAACGTCAATGCTATATAAGATTTTGTTTCAATACAAAGATCTTCAGACAGAAAGAAATAACAAAGCAGAGTAACATTTCTTTCACTTAAGTTAAATAAGGCATAAATTGATTGCTATCTAGCTCTTTTCACTCAAAATATAAAAATATGAAATAATAATAAAATTGTCAACCAAATTCATTAAATGGGATTGAGTTAAGGGGCCGTGTAAGTTCCATAATGAAAGTACTTAATGACTAGAAAGGGCACAAATCTAGTGAAAACATTTACCAGAAAATTTGTGCTTGCTCAGCAAGCAAGAAAAATTCTTATACTATAGCAAATGCATAATGAATAACAACAATCAACGAAGTCAACAAGTTTGGGCTGATGCCATGATATAGCACTGACCTAACAACAGTGTTTTTCAAAATTTGTATGCTCTAAGTTTTTTTTATGAAAATGGAGTCAAAATATTTCCAAAGTATAAAATTATCTTTAGATCTAGCGGCAGCTTAGAGCAAAACTACTGTAACCAACAAAAATGTACAGTACTGTGGGGGACGCTACAACTGCTCACTTGATAGTATCATAAGTTACATACATAAGCTTTGAAAACAATAACAAACGATCAGTCATGCAACATTTTGTGCTGTTACCCTTGGTAGCACCTCAAAATTTTTTTTGTCACTAATTAACTTTGTGCTTCTTTCTTTGTTCACGACGTCTTTCACTTTCAGAAGTATTGTGCGGTCTTAGTTCTCTATAGGCAACCTGAAAAGGAGAACCAACCAAATAAGTCGACAACAGTACCTTAATGTACAATGAGCTGAAAAACATCAAAGTATCTTACCAAATCCATATCATCGGGAACACGAGAAAGAAGATCCAGTACTTCATTATTTGGCACAGTATGAGGTCTTATGATTTTACGAGCAAACTTGTTAATACCCCACATCATTATCAGATACCTTGCTGGTATCCAATAAAGCACAAGACCAGCAATAAGCAGCATTAGAATTGCCAGATAAGTCAGGAAAGGAACAGTAAAATTGAAGGTGCTGTAGGTAGAAAGAAACAAATTAAAATTATGTGATTGAAATCCTACGCAAGTTTATACACAACATTTTCGTTAAGTCTTACTTTTTTATGCTTTCTCCTAGTGATGCTATATGTCCAATAGAATTTTGAACAGTTTGTGTTACTTCTTGAATAGCATGCAAACGCTCTTTCAGACTCATCTTGCCATCCTAAATAAACAAGAAAATAATAATTAGATGGGAAAACCATGGTACTTAGTTGGGTTTAGGTTTGTTAAAAGAATCAACCTTCTCTTTGTCGTCATCGTCAGAATCCTCTTCACCAGATAAATCATCGTCATCATCATGAGAAGCCCAGCCTCCCGTCAAAGAAAGCACCTGAATAACAAACGTCAAATTTGTTAGGAAAGGAAACACTTTTCAGTCACTGTCCAAAATTCCGTATTAAATGTAAATATTTGATTTGCTCACAATGTAATATCTAAGGAATACACAGAGTAATCCAAGTGGCACCATGTATGGTTCAAAATAATAACACCCTAAAATAAACAGCACTAAAGCTATGAGACTTCTGGGTGTAGACTCCCATTCAAAACAACCCCTGTATAAAAGAAATTATTATTTTAAAAAGGAGTATAAGATTTCATTGAAAAGTTGGCAATGGTCATGTAATTTTCCTTCATACTTACGACAAATATTTTCCAAAATCTATGACACACATTATAAGAGTTTTGAGCCGCATCACATTTCTTAGAAAAACTTGTCGCTTGAACTTTGTTTCAGACTGCATATATTTCTTTTCTTTTGGATTTATGGTTCTTATACTGGCCCGAATCTGAATGGACAATGGATATGATTGTGTAGTTAATGACATGGTAAAAATATCTCTCCAGGGCGGAGACATCTGGATAAGTTTCAGTTTCATACCGGGTTCCAGAGAACAGTCATCTCCAGAAGTATTTGGGGGTTGTTGCCCTTGGCACGGCTGGTTAAGTTCTTGTCCTTGAGGCAGTACCATCTTTTCTCTCCAGACCGCATGCGCATCAAGGGCACAGCTAGCCTTCCCAGAAATTCCACCTTGTGATCTCTGTCCTCATCATAGACCGTAACCTCAAGTACTGAGTTGATGTCTTTCACATTGCTGCAACAAAAAAAAAAGTACACACATTATTTTGGAGAAAATTTGAGATTTTCATTGCTCGACCATGCACAGTCGAGATGAACTCACAAGGTAAATATTTTGTTCCACTGCGGGGCCAAGGTCTTGTACTCCGTCTGCGTCTGCAGGCGCGCGTTGACCAGCTCCAGCACGCAGAAGGGGTCCGACTTGCCGCCCAGGTCAGCCGCGGCCAGACCCTGCGCGCGGTACACCTTGACGGTGAGGTGGCCGACGTCGCGGAGGTTGGCGAACGACTGCAGCAGGCCCTGCAACGCAACAAGTCGGGGCGGTGAGCTACAGAGTCGCTAAATGGGGCTCGAGCCGAGCGTGTGACCCCACCAATGGATTCCTCGTTCGGAGAGCAATCTATTGATGGGTTCACACGTTCGGTTCGAGTCCCATTTAGCGACTCTGGAGATGAAAACGCGTTGGAGATTTTGACCGCGTCCACCGGGTTCGGGTTGGCGTACTCACGTATCGCTGCTCCACGTGGCTGCGCTCGCGGGGGTTGTCCTCGTAGGTGGTGAGGTCCGAGATGGTCTCGGAGGCGGTGGTGCCGCTGATGGTGAGCAGCAGGAACACCGAGCCGGCGCCGTTGTCGAAGGGCTGCCTGATGCGGTGCGTCGACTCCCGCTCCAGGAGCGACAGGTCGATGGTGCACCTGGCAACACAACAAGCATACACTTAGCGCCCCGGCCAGCCCCCACTCTTTTCCTCCTGTTGACCTCTGCCCCGGGCACCGCCAGGGGGAGGGGGGGGGCGTGCTGGACCAAAGGGACGGATTCGAAGGGGGGAGGGCGGTCGATAACGAGTAGCGGGGGGCGCGGGGAGGGGAGGGGTGGGGATGGAGGTGCATCTCTTATCCCCGCGTACCGACAGAGGCAACCACATCAACGCCTCGGCGCGCCTCGCCGCGGCGTCCCAGCTGTAGCCGAACACCCCTGTGCTGTGCGCGGCCGGTCTTCTGGCAAATCCACTGAGCTCCGCCTCTCTCGCACCCACCTGCCGATGCAGTCGTCCTTGGAGCGCTCCTTGTCCCACAGCGTCACCTCCAGCTCCTGGCTCTGGTCGTCGTACATGTGCAGGTCGAACTGCTCCAGCCACGACGGGCTGAGCGTGCCGTAGGCCACCTTGCTCTTGTACTTCTCCTGGCCCAGCCTGCAACAAAGAGACGGTCAGTTTTCGCGCCAAAAAAAGCGACCAACTGTTTCGCGCCAAAACCAGCGACAAACAGTTTTCGCGCCCAAAGAAGTGACAAACAGTTTTCGCGCCTAAAAAAGCGACGGTCAGTTGTCCCGCCAAAACTAGCGACGGACAGTGTTCGCGCCAAAACCAGCGACAAACAATTTTCGCGCCAAAACCAGCAATAAACAAGACGTCAAACTTGCTGCCGGCTGACCTGAACTTGCAGTAAGAGTCGCTGGTGCCCTCCATGTTCATGGGCAGGAGGTTCTTGCCCTCCACGAGGACGATGGTGACTACGGAGCTCCAGATCTGGCTTTTCAGTCTTCGGTTCACGTCGGACAGCTTGTTGTTCCGCTGAAAGTACTGCAACACAGAGAGGTTTTACAGTGAGCGCGCGTCGAGCCGTTAGGCCGCAGCGACGGAAAAAGCATTTGGTTTTGTTGGCGACAGAAGAAGAAGAATAAGAAGAAGAAAAGGAAGAAGAGGAAAAAACAGTGGTTCTGAGCCTCTCCACACCCACATCCACGAGTAGAGATGCAGCATGAACCACAACCACAGCGAATAGAGCGCAAAGCGGAAAACAAAAAAATACACTCTTCTAAAAGGGTTCCTGAGTTTTGACTCGCTGTTGCGAGGCAGCCTAGTATGGAACTGAGGACGGGAAGCAAGGCAACGCAAACTAAACAGACCCCATCCCCCTCCCTCGACGTCAGCATCGTTAAGCAACATCTTAATGACGAACCACTCGACAGTTTATTTTCTTGGACAGCTCGACAAACCGAAGTGTTTTAAGAACGTAGGAGCCGCTTTGGAATTCGGAGAGAATGAAAAAAAAAAAACTTTTTTTTCCTTAAATGATGTCCTTGTCCTTGGAGGTGGCCAAGGGGTGGCGGTTGGAGTAGGATGGGGGTGGGGGTGACGCAAAGGGTACGCCAGGAAAAACCACAACTTTTGGCCTCTAGATAAGGTCACCGGAAAAGGTAAAACAACGAAGCTAGGTAGGGCGGCGCGTGGCGCAAAAAAGCCTCCGACTTCCGGACCCAAGCACAGCTGGAAGTTCAACAGGAAGTGCTGCGGCGCCGCTCAGGGCACTGCCAGGGCACTGCCAGGGCACTGCGCGCCACTGTGTGTTTACTCTGGGCGTTAAGCACTGACCCAGGCAACGGCTGCGGCCGGCACGTTCCCGTCAACACGGACCGGGAGGCACGGTGCACAGTGGGCCAGAAGACTGGCGCAGGCCGCCCAAACTCTCCAGAGTCGCTAAATGGGACTCGAACCGAACGTGTGACCCCACCAATGGATTGCCCTCCGAACGAGGAATCCATTGGTGGGGTCACACGTTCGATTCGGTGCGGTGTGGCGGCGGTCTCGGCCAGCTCGGCGCCAACCTTGTGCATGCGGTCGCCTCGGTGGCGCAGCCGCTGCCCGATCTTGTCCAGGATGCCGTGCTGGGCGTGCGGGCCGTGCTCCAGCTCCTCGGGGGGCGTGGCGTCGGCGGCGTCCTCGGCGTCCGAGTCCGCCTCGTCGTGGTCCTGAGGTTCGTCGTGGTCGTCCGAGTCCCCGCTGTCGGCCACGCTGCTCATGCTGCTGCTGTGCGCGCCCAGGCTGCCCAGGCTGCGGTGGTGCAGCACGCGGAGCAGGCGGCGCGGGTGGACGCCGCGCGTCGCCGTCGGCGTCCCCGCCGGCGTGGCGGCCATGGGCGGCGAGTCCGGGGACGGCGGCTCCTCGTCGTGGTCCTCGCGCGCGTCCTCGCGCCACAGCCGCGTCAGCTTGTGGCGCACGCGGCGCAGCGTGCCCGACTCGGCCTGCATGGCGGTGCGGGCGGTGCGGGCGGCGCCGAGGCCGCCGTCAACGCCGTCAACGCCCCCCACCACCGCGCGCCGCGCGCGCCGCGTTCGGCACGGCCGAGCAACAGCGTAAACAAGCAGGCATGACGGCGTGCTCGGCGGCGCCTGGGAGCGGGGCGTGGCGGTGGTGCACGCGACCAGACGGCCAGACGACCAGCGCACGCGAACAGTAGACCACCACCGCCCGGCGTGCTGGCACTCGACGGACTCGGCCTGCTCCGCCTGATGCCGACTCGCGCCGCGACTGGCTTGCTCCTGGCTTGCGGGCTTGCTGGCTTGCTCGCGCCGCCCGTCCAGCAGTGGGGTGGGCAGGTGGGGGGGCCGCCCCACCCCTCCGCCTCCCGGGCCTTCCAGGACGGCGGCTTCCTTGTTGCGCCGTCGCACGGTGGGCCAGAAGGCCGGCGGAGGCGGCCGAAACTCTAGACGCGTTTTGAGCTCCAGAGTCGCTGAATGGGACTCGAACTGGACGTGTGACCCCACCAATGGATTGCTCTCCGAACGAGGAATCCATCAGTGGGGTCACACGTTCTGTTCGAGTCCTGTTGGGCGACTCTGGAGCCGGTCTATTCCTTCGCGGCGGCCAGCCATTAGCTCATGACTGGAGTCTCTGTCTCGCGGGGTAGCGACAGCCACAGCCTATTCTTTCACGTGGACGTGGATGGAAAAAACAACAGCACGGACTCAAAGAAAGGAACCACCCAACCGTTAATGAAATTCTTCAGTCAGGCCCCTTTCCTTAAAAAGGGCTGGTCAGGGCGGGTAACAACGGTGTGTGCGAGAGAGACAGGTGGGTGCAGCTAGAACACAACAACAGAGAAAGAGAAAGAAAAGAGGGCTCAAAGGGACTTTGTGCAGACTCACGCCTCGCCTGTGATGGGCACTCTACGCAAAAAAGACTAACAACAAAACGGCTCTGTCAGGTTTTCTTGACGCTGTTCTGTCTCTGTCCGACTCACTACGGGTACGCCATGCAGCGTGCACCAGACGGGGTCGGGCCCGATGCCTGAGAACTACGTATCGGCAAAGCTAAACCTGTGTGTGTTTTCTGTCAAGTCTACGCTCAGAAACATGACTAAGGAGTGTCAGAGCCAAGGCGTGCCCAACTCAAGATAATCATTGCACGTCTAGTTGGTAATCAGTGAAATAATCAACATCACCCAATGAAATGACAATCATACTTTCGGGGATTCATTCACTTCATGACCATTTTTGCGAGACCACTGCTCCCAAACTATCAGCGGTCAAAGCCTTCCCGAGGCGGGGCATGAAAGAGTAGGGTCTTCAGAATAGTAAGGCGTCGAGGGAGGCCTTTGACCGCAACTAAAGGAGCAGTGACCGCTTTAAACCGGTTTTTAAACCGGTAAAGAACGGGATAATCGGTAAAAACCGTTTTTGGGACCCCCAAAAATTTTTTTGGTAATTTTGAAAATTCTTTTTTGAACTTCTTTAGCTTCCCTAATTAAAAAAACGTAACTGAAAATAGCGTTCTTTTAAATCTTGGGTTTTTATTGCCCCTCGTGGCCCCCCCTGGGCCTTTAAAACGTCGCCAAAAATTTGGAATTTGTTTCTTTTTTTCAAAATTGTAGAAATCAAAACCTTTGGACCCAAAACTCCAAAAGGGAAAACAAAAATTTTTTTGTTGCCAAGGTTCAAAAATTTTCCCAACTTAAAAATTTAAAAAAAGGGAAATCTAGGGGGAATAGAGACATTTTGGGGTGAAAAGGAATGAAAAATTGGTTGGTTGTTACACCCTTTTTGTTTAAAAAAAAAGTTTTTTTATGGAATTGAGACAACTTACTTGGATTACGGAAAAAACGCCCCTTTTTTTAATTCTTAAGATATTTGAGGGTTAAATTTGCTGCTCTACCCCTTTTTAACCAGCCCTGGGTTGAAAAAGCAGTTTTTTTAAGGGGCTAGGGGGAAAAATTCATATTTTTTAAAGGGTTTTTGTCCTTTTCTACAAATGCACATTGTCCTTGGTCATGATTTTAAACCTGTTTTAACGATGGGGGAAAAATTAAGTACAAAAACCCCCCCAAATGCCCTTTTTCCCCCCTTTCACGAAAAACCACAGTTACCCTTTGGGAAGTCAAAACCCAATTTTCCCATAAAGGAAAAAACCGTTTTTACCCTTTTACGTAACTTTTAACTTACCGGGATTTTTGCAAGGGACCGCTCAAAGTCACAAAAAAGTGATTTTTGAAATTCCTTCCTTTTTTTTAAACCCTTTTTTACCCCGTCTCAAAATACAGCGGGCAAAGCCCTTCCCCAGGGGGGGCATGAAAAGGGAGGGTCTTTAAATGAGGCGTCGAGGGAGGCCTTTGACCGCAAATAAAATTTGGGTGCAGTGACCGCTCAAAGTCAGCAAAAAAAGGATTTTCTGAAATTCATTCCTTTTTTACCATTTTTGCGTGACCACCGCTCCAAACTATCAGCGGTCAAAGCCTTCCCGAGGCGGGGGATGAAAAAGTAGGTCTTCAGAATAGCAAGGCGTCGAGGAGGCCTTTGACCGCAACTAAAATTTGGGCGCAGTGACCGCTCAAATCAGCAAAAACTGATTTTCTGAAATTCATTCTCTTCTTGACCATTTTTTCGTGACCACCGCTCCCCAAAATATCACGGAAAGCCTTCCCGAGGCGGGGCAAAAAAGTAGGGTCTTAGAAAAGTAGGGCGTCGAGGAAGGGCCCATGACCGCAACTAATTTTACGCGTGGCTGCCCAAAGTCACCAATATTGAATTTCCGACACTTTAACAGCTTTCCGAGGTCGCTGCCTAAAAAATCCCCAATATTTCCCAATAATCAACATAATAACCTCCTTTAATCAGTGATAAATAATAAAATAATAAAAAAAATCACATGTAATCATACTCTAAATATAATCAGTGTACATGAAAATCTTGAGTTGGTTACCCCTTGGTCGGAGCTGTGTCGGTCGGTGAGCGCCAGGAGATTCCCGATGAGTGGGTTCATCACTCCATCTCTGTTTCACTCATTGGGCGGGATAGAGACGGTGCGACGAAACGACTCACAGGAAACGCTCGGCTGCAGGTAGGGTTGCCACTCACGGACAGTCGGACGAAAGGGCGGACAGGGTTGCCAACTCTTCGGACGGTCTCTGTCTATCTCTGATTGCAAAAAGTGGCTGTCTCTGTCTTTGTCTCTCTGAGCCATCCCATCAGCACAAACCATTTCCCATTCTTGCTAATTTTTTTTAACCATTCCCCCACAGGCCCCGAGCGACAACCCGCCCGCATCCGACCCGCCGCTCCGACACCTTCGCGGCGCGAACGCTGCCAAAAAGCAGGCAAAACAACATCTAAATAGAAAAGAAAAAGAAAATCTCGCAGTGGGCGCAATTTGCTGCCGCTTTAGCTCGTCTGCTCGACTATAGGCGTTTACCGTGCTGGGGTTAGTAGTGTTATTTACAACACGCGTCGCAGTTGGTTGTTAGTGTTGGCGGGTTAGTTACAAACAGCTCTGCTTATTTAAAGCCCGACAGCTTTTTTGAAAAAGTAAAACGTCAAGTGGGGAGAGCAGCACGACGTTGGGGTATTGTCTGAACCGATGGCTGCCGTAGCCCCGGGTTCGAATACCACCGTCGGCGTTGCTGTCTCGACACTCTTTTTTTTTCTGCACTTTTTCAAAAAGGCGCGAGGCGCTTTTCGGGAGGCAGGCTAGCGTTTTGTGGATTACCTGCTGCGTTACTTGGGGGAGGAGTTTGGACACAGACAACCCTGAGCCGGACTGTCCTGCAGCAGCCTGCAAGGAAGGCAAATCAAAAGGGTGAGCTGGCCTAGGGGAGCGGCGCGCCGTCCAACCGTATCCAGGCAAATGCATTCGGGTCGCGCCTGTCAGGCGGGCTGGGCTGCCTCGCCTCCGAATCAATTTGCCGCCCCGCCGAGCTGGCAGCCAGGCGACGACCGTTTCTCATCTGCGCAAGCTTATTGGGCGCTTGCGACGGTCCGTGGAATTTCGCAAAAAAAAAAGAGGAACACCCAACAATAAAGTGCAATTTTGTGCAATTGAAAGAAAAGAGAACTTTCTGGTAGCATAGAGTCGCGAGGAAAAGGCATCTCGTGTTTTGTTTCCACCGACAGTCGAGTCGGGTGAGAGAAATAAGTATGGTCGAATTTCAATAAAGTTGACGAAGGCAGGAAACTCGACTTCGTCTCAAATTTCCCGCCAGAGTCAGTCTTTGCAGGACGCGCTCTGACTATTCATTGAGCTGGAAACGCGAAGGAAACGAAGCTGGGCTAGAAGACCGGTGGTGGCGGTCAAACTTCCAGACGCGTTTTGAGCTCCAGAGTAGGTTAACGGGGCTCGAACCGAACGTGTGACCCCACCAATGGATTGCTCTCCGAACGAGGAATCCATTGGTGGGGCCACACGCTGGGTTCGAAGCCTGTTTAGCGACTCTGGAGCTCAAAACGCGTCTGGAGTTTGGGCCGCCTCCACCGGTCTTCTGGCCCCGGCTGTTACCTGCTCGCGGTCCTCCTGCGTCCGCGGCCACAGCGACACTGCCAGCACCAGCTCGCCCATGTACTCCATGGCCTCCTTGCCGGGCTCCTTGCCGGCCTCCTTGCCGGCGTCCCGCAGCGGCAGCACCAGTTCCGTGTGCCTGCCCAGGTCGAGCCGCGTCAGGTCCAGCACCGCCGACCCCATGAAGTCGTCCTGCAGCCCCCAGTCGTAGTCGAACACCTGCGGGACAGTGCACTGTTTTTCAAAAATGTTTGCAACTTTCAGGAGAGCTTGCTCCGATCTTCAGAGATCTGGCGCAGGCTGGCTTTGACTCCGGTCGGAGTGGTGGCTGGCGATACTCCGTGCCTCCTGAGGCAGCGGACGGAGTATCGACGCCGGCCTGCCCGTGCTGCGCCCTGGCGACGACGCTAGACGTCCGCCCGACTGACCCACTGGCCTGGCTGCGGGGGTCTCCAGGGTTGGGATACCCCGCGCACGGTGGGCCAGAACACCGGCGGGGCGGTCCAAACTCCAGACGCGTTTCGAGCTGCAGAGTCGCTAAACGGGGCTCGAACCGAACGTGTGACCCCACCAACGGATTCCTCGTTCGGAGAGCAATCCATTGGTGGGGTCACACGTTCGGTTCGAGTCCTGCTTAACGACTCTGGAGCTCAAAACGCGCCAGAGCTTTGGCCGCCTCCACCGGTCTTCCGGCCCACTGTGCGCTACTCACGTCCCGAGCGGCGGGCGAGAAAATTTAAATTTTGGATGGAGGGAAGAGGAGCCTCGCGTAGTGAGGATGCAAGGCGGTGAACGGGAAGGTCGCCAGGGAGTCAGCTGGGGAGAGTCAGCTGCCACATTCACCTGGGGAGAGTCAGCTAGTGGGGTCGGTGTGGCAATTAGGTGCCGAGGAGAGTTAGCTGCAGAGGGTGGTCTAGGCTAGTCTAGGCCAGCACACTGCAGGAACAGGAGAACAGGGGAATTGGCCAGTGGAGGCACCGCCGACAGAACTAATCCCATTTCTGCCTCCTCCTCGCCGCCCCGCCCCGCCCCGCCCCGCCCCGCCTTGGCCGCCTTCCCGGAGCGCGGCGTTTCCGGCGGCGTGGCGGTGTGGCCACACTGTGTGGAGGCTTGACCGCAACAGGCGAAGGCTTATCACCGGAAGTACGGCAACGCGGGAAGGGCCTGCTACTCCGGCGGCCGTGTCGCTCGCAGATAGAGAGAGCCGAAAACACAACAAAGAAAAAAAAATAGCGGCCTTGACCGGGATTCGAACCCGACCCACCTTGAGCTGGACGGGCTGGAAGGGGTCCTCGATGGCCAGCGTGAAGCTCTCGTCCCAGACGGGGTTCAAGTCCCTGGGGATCGTCCTGGACTTGTGCATGAGGCGGCCGCCCACCTTGAACTTGACGTACGGGTCGCTCGTTCCTGGAAGCGGAAACGCGCTTTTTAGCTTCAGCTCGAACCGGACGTGTGACCCCACCAATGGATTCCTCTCGGAACGAGCAATCCATTGGTGGGGTCACACGTTCGGTTCGAGTCCCATTTAGCGACTCTGGAGCTCAAAACGCGTCTGGAATTTCTACTCTACACTCACCGCTCTTGTCCCTGGCCACCAGGTCCTTGCCCCTCTTGAGGTGCACGCGGAGCTGGTAGAACGAGTGCTGCAGCAGCGCGGCGCGGCGTCTCTGCGCCACCTCGCACTCCGCCGAGGACGCCACCTGCGGGTTCAAATACCAACATGAGCCCTTTTTTTTCAACCTCGTTTTTTAACGACATTGCTAGGCACTGCAGTTTTTTTTACAGCGAAAAACACTGGTCGGATTATGAAACTCGATCAGGTCCCGCTAATCCGCACCGCCGGCCGTTTCCGCCGGGCCAGCCGGGCGTCCCTTTGAATCCAGCGCAAACACACTGCAAAAAGCGGCAAAAAGGGAGCGAGGAAGGCGGGGCCACTGGAAAATATTTATCCAGCAAACACCGCGCATTCAAGGCGAATTCATCGTCGGGCCTGCGGTCGCCTCGGTGGCGGTGCAAAAAAAAAGCAACTCGGGGAATGGGACTCCTGGAGGGTCCTGGAGGGTCCTGGAGGACTCTCTGCAGTGTCGTGGAGCTAACTAACTAGGTGGAGCGGAGAGCCCTGGCAGCCTAGCACCGCGCGAGCAGCGGAGATGACTAAACCGATTTACAAACCCTTCTACCTTTTTTTTCCTCCAACCAAAAGGAGCGCAAGGAAACTTGAAGCCCGAATGTGAACGTAAAAAAACCTGGTTGGTTTTGTTTTTACGGTTGTACAATTTATATTTTTTGGGAGGCAAATAGTTTTTTCCGTTGTTCGCAGACTGCCGCAAGTCGAGTCGAGCTCGGGAAGTTGGAAGGCAGCCTTACGTCATGAGCCCTAATCACGCTGTTTGGAGGTCGGCCTTTAATTAGCGGCGAAGCTCGCACACTGCAAAACGGAAAGGGGGGGGGGAGCGAGTGGTTGGAGAGAGATTGCGAGCGACTCTCTAGGCGCGTTTTGAGCTCCAGAGTCGCTAAATGGGACTCGAACTGAACGTGTGACCCCACCAATGGATTGCTCTGCGAACGAGGAATCCATTGGTGGGGTCACACGTTCGGTTCGAATCCCACTAGGGAGCTCATACAACGTCTAGAAGAGAGAGGGGAGGTGAGGGAGGTGAAGGAGGTGGGCAGGGAGAAAGGTGGACAACGAACGGGGAGAAAGCGGTGAGACCAAAGAGCCCCGATTGAACGGAGGAGATTCGGGCATCGCGTGCCGAGCCCTGCCAATCCGGTGTGCGGTAAGGGAGGGGGAGGGGGGCGGATCGTGCTGGTAATCTACATACTACATGAGCAAGGCTGGCACGTCAGGGTCGGAGTCACGCGGTGCGTGTGCCGATTAATTTCGCCACAGTGCAGTGTCGCCACATAAGCAGGCTAAACTCGCCACCACGCACAGTGGGCCAGAAGACCGGTGGAGGCGGCCCACATCCCGGACGCGTTTTGAGCTCCAGAGTCGCTAATGGGACTCGAACCGAGCGTGTGACCCCACCAATGGATTCCTCGTTCGGAGAGCAATCCATTGGTGGGGTCACACGTTCGGTTCGAGTCCCATTTCGCGACTCTGGAGCTCAAAACGCGTCTGGAATTTCGGCCCACCGTGGGAGTTTTCGCGCACGTAAGTGGCAACACACTGCGACAATGAGCCCGGCGTGACTAAGCCCGTCGTGACGTAATTAATGCACGGCCCTCCTTTGAGCCATTCACTGGGCGGCCAGTGCAGGCCCGCGCCAGGCACGCCTCGCCCTCGGGCCTCGGGGAGCGTGTACACTGTGCTCCCGGTTTCACCGCTCGTACCTCGGGACCGGGAGCGGCGAGCCACAGGCGACGTGCACTGGAAAAAAATCGCGCGGGAAATACAAGTCGTTGAACGAAAAAAAAAGCTGAATTCAAAGCGCAACGCCTCCTCGGCCTTGGCGCTGCCTTGGCGGGCCAGCGCGCGATTGGCTAACTTTCTTGATTCATCTCACCTTGGCGGGAGAGTGCGAGGCTGCAGTGAAAGTGTGAGGGAACATGGCTGGCAAACAGGGGGGGGGGGGGGGCGTTGCTTGCTGGCATGCATAATGTAAGGCACCGGCAGCCAAGTGGGAGCCAAAAGGCGCGAGCAAGCTCGAGGTGAGTGCATCCACACGACACAGCTATGCGCGGTGGCGCAGGGGTAGAGTCACCGATTGCGATGATAGAGGACCTTGGTTCGACTCACGCGTGGAGGAAATTTTTTGTCGCTTGCGCCGCTAGCGCGCTACGGTAGGCCAGAAGACCGGTGGAGGTGGTCAAAATTTTTGACGCGTTTTGAGCTCCAGAGTCGCTAAATGGGACTCGAAATGTGACCCCACCAATGGATTCCTCGTTCGGAGAGCAATCCATTGGTGGGGTCACACGTTCGGTTCGAGTCCTGTGTAGCGACTAATAGAGTTTCGGCCGCCTCCACAGCGGCCTTCTGGCAAATCCACAGTGCAGTCCGTGGAGCTCACCAGCAGCATGGGGATGTCGCTGGAGGTACCGGGCTGGGGCTGCACGATGGTGGTGGTGGTGGTGGCGGCGGTGGTGGCCGAGGTGGCCGAGGCCGTGGTGGTGGCGGTGATGCCGCTGGCGGCCGAGGCCTGGCGCCGCAGCCTGACGGGGGAGTCCTCGACGGCGGTGGTGGCGTCGGCGGGCACCCGGTGGCGGTGGCGGGGCGACTGCGTGGCCGACGACGAGTACTCCGACGAGTTGTCCGCCGCGTAGTCCGTGGAGTACGAGTCCTCGACGCCGGCCGCGCCGCCGTCGTCGCCCTGGTCCGCCTCGCCGCGCGTCCGCCGCCGCTCCCGCGACCGGCTGCGCACCCAGCGGTTCTGCCGGGCAAATGAGTTGAGTTAAGCCGCGTCCGAAGCAGCTTGAAAAGAAGAATGCACTGGTGGAAAAGCAACGAAACAAATCCGGGCTGGCCGGGCCGGTCTGCACAGGGGGCGCTGGGATGTCAAACACACAGCGCAGGCTTCCCCACACTCTTTCTCATCTTCCTCCTCTCCCCCACTGTCTGGGCGTAAGGTGAGCCCGCTACATTTGTTCCGGTTAGGCGGACAGGGCTGACTGGCGGCCAAATAGTCTAGGGATTGGCGGGGGGAGAACAGCGCCCACACTGGTAAAAGGAACCCGGCACTGGAAGGAGCCCACCAAATCCCAGACGCGTTTTGAGCTCCAGAGTCGCTAAACAGGACTAGAACCGAACGTGTGACCCCACCAATGGGTTCCTCGTTCGGAGAGCAATCCATTGGTGGGGTCACACGCTCCGTTCAAGTCCTGTGTAGCGACTCTGGAGCTCAAAACGCGTCTAGAATTTAGGCCGCCTCCACCGGACTGTACGCCGTCGCGAACTGACCTTGAGTGAGTTGAAGAACGAGTGCGTCTTCTGCATGACGCTGAGGTGCGCGCTGATGGCTGCCTGCGCGGCGGGGGCGGCGGCGGGGGCGGCGGCCATGGCCACCATCGGGGGCGGCTGCCTGCTGGGCGACGGGTGGCGGCCCGAGCCCCGGCCCGAGGGCCCCGACGCGCGCCGCACCCCCGGCGGCGTGAGGTGGGCCCGGAAGGGCCGCAGCAGGCGGGGCGACCCCCGGGGCGACCTGGACGGCGACCTCGGCGGCGTGGTGGCCAGCGAGTCGCGCGACGGGCCGGCGGCGGGCGGGGGCGGCACGCGGGGGCGGAGGCAGGCCCCCGCGCCGCCGACGCAGCCCCCGCAGCCGCAGCCCGCGCTCAGCTCCGACACACTCTGGGACAGGTGGCGGCCCAGCGGGGCGGCGGCGTCATCGCCGTCCTCGCCCTCCGCCTCGACCTCCGGCTTGAGGAACGCACCCTCGCTCTTGACGGACCCTGCAACCAGAGACCGCGTCAGCGCACACAATGCAAAGGCCTTACAGTGCAGCCACCAGGCCGACCGAGGCGCTCGGAGCGCCCGCAGAACCTCGGGTAGGCAACCCGCTGGCCCGGCGTGCCGCCGTGCGTCGGATTGCCTACCCCGCGATGCGCAGGCGTTCGGGTGGCGGCTACCTGACCGTCGGTGGGAATCCATCTGCTGGAGGCTGGCTGTGCTCTGAGGCTGGCCGGGCTGGCGAGGACGCCGGGGACTGCGGCGGGCGGCCTGCTGCACGAGCCCCGACACCCCGTCCCAGCCGCCCGGGCCACTATCAGAGAGCCAAGGTTGCCACTCGGCGCCACGTGCTAATCAGGTGAAATATAGGGTACCCACTTCCGGCCGCAGCGCTCGTATCTCAACGGGTCACCGGAAAAAAAAGGGCACACGTTGTAATTGTCGCCATCGTCTTAGTTTCGCGCTGAGTAAGTACGTCTAGGGACGAAACTCTGCAAATAAATTGAATTGATTCAAGTGCTTTCGTCTTGTCTCACGATTTCCTAAACCAACGAGCACTTATTGAAAAAAGCTACACTGTTTGAAAAATCTTCCGGAGAACTTGCTGCCTCCGATCTTCAGAAAATTCCAATGTTCCTCTTTTGTGTGAGTTTCCGGCAGGTATAATCCAAAATATTATTTGAAAAAATAAATGTTAGTTTAAAGCTGTTTACTGTACATTGACTGGCTTCTTCGCAGTGCCGGCTCCGTGCCCCTTCACCGCGACATCAGCGGGGCTAAGTGGCGCCATAAAACACGAGGGACGTTCGCCGGGAATGAAGCGCCCCCCCCCTCTCTCTCTCTCTGTCTCTCTCTCTCCCCCCTCCCCCTGTCCATCTCTCCATTCAACGACTGGCTGGCTTCCCCGAGGTGCCGGTCCGGGACACTGATAAATTGAAAGACAACACAGCTCCTCCTGGACAGGGAAACTCATCCTGCCCGTGACACTCCGGGGCACCGAGGTCGCGGACCCGTGCGACCCTCTCGCCGTCGCGACGGGCACGGCGAGCGGCGAGTCGGGGGTGGTGCTCGAACCTCGAACCTTGGCGCCCGGCCAAAACGTGCGGGATGGCTTTTAGCTGTTCGTCACAGGGTTATCGGACAGAGCGTCTTTGACTTGCGCTTGATTCAATGTCCCAGAGCCACGACTCGAGGCGTACGTGTTATTACGGCTCACTGAGCGCAGGGACAATCAAAGGGGATTCACAGACTCGAAAGTCCGTCAGCCCATTCGTTAGCTGATTGGATCGGCAGGGACGAATTATGTAATCGGCATTGATGCTTCCAACGGCATCGACCGCACGGCGCCATGACCACGCATAGAGTGCCAAAAGACCAGGCGGCCAAAACTCCAGACGCGTTTTGAGCTCCAGAGTCGCTAAACAGGACTCGAACCGAACGTGTGACCCCACCAATGGATTCCTCGTTCGGAGAGCAATCCATTGGTGGGGTCACTCGTTCGGTTCGAGTCCTGTATAGCGACTCTGGAGCTCAAAACGCGTTTAGAATTTTGGCCGCCGCCACCGGCCTTCTGGCAAATTCGGACACGGAGTACGTCAAGTACGTCGCCTACCTGGCCGCGGCCGCCGGGACCTGGGGACGCACGACAGCAGGCCGCCGCACATAACCTGTTGTCCGGGGCGCCGGGGCGGAGGCACACTGGCGAATCCAGCCACGCCCGGCCGGCCGACCGGCTGCCAGACCAGCCACACCACTGTCAGGGCGGCCGCCGCGGCCGACACGAACAAGTGCCCGACACACGAGGTGGTGCGTGCCGGGCCGCGTCATCCCTTGCCCGATCACCCCCCCCCCCCCTCTGGCGTCGTCAAACTACCCGCCACTGCCGTGGAGAGCCCCCCACCACCGCCACACAGTGCAGCTTGACTGGCACACTGCCTCGACGATGCCTGATTACGCGACTTTTGCGAAATGCTTCCAGAGACCGCGGGGGTAATGGGTGAGTGCTACTTCGTCACCCCCCCCCCCCTCTCTCGGAGGCCAAGGCACCGCCCGCGTTGCCGTGTCACACTAAGTGAATTTCGCAGTTAGCGCGAAACACTGTTTCGCCGCTTCCTCTTCCCACCCGGAGGGCGTCGCATTCCCACAGAGCGAGCCAAGAAATATCACATTTCCCGCAAGTAAACAGTCATAACACGTGGCGGTTTATTCAAATTCGTTTCCTGCTGGACTGTTGTTGTTGTTTTGTTTGGAATATCGCGCTGAGAAAAAACGTGGGCATCGTCCGGAGTGGTCACATCTGATGGTTCCCCTCTGAGCTGTAAAGCGAGCGCCCTGTCAATGCTTGCCCCTCCCCCCTCTCCATATCAGATCCCCCCCCCTCTTCTGCGGCGCCAACTCGAGCAACAACTGCCAACCACGCAATACGGGGACCGCGAGCGAAGCGTGCGGACGCACTTCGAACGCGACCAGAGGCCCTAGAACTGTCTCACTCCCACTCCCTCCGCCGGCCGCTCTGCTGGAGACGCGACAGAGAGAGAGAGAGAGAGAGAGAGAGAGAGAGAGAGAGAGAGAGAGAGAGAGAGAGAGAGAGAGAGAGAGAGAGAGAGAGAGAGAGGCGAAAAGTTGAAGGCCGGAGCCGGGCGTCAGCGCACAGTGGGCCAGAAGACCGGTGGGGGCGACCAAAATTCGAGACGCGTTTTTAGCTCCAGAGTCGCGAAATGGGACTCGAACCGAACGTGTGACCCCACCAATGGATGCAAGAGACAGCAAAAAAAAGAATCATGGGTCGGGAGAGAATCGAACCCGCGTCCCGAGAGTACGACGCAGACTGCTAACCATCTGCGCCACCAGTGAGACAATGGTCAGGCCAGAGGCTCCCAGTCAAGTTGGCAATCTGCCGGTCGCCGAGCCTCTGCGCTTCGTCCTTAACTGCAGCCAATTCGAGGAAAGGCCGTCGTTTATCATTGGCAACGGCCGCGGGTTCGATCCCCGGCAGAGCGCGCGTTTTAGCACCGGCCGGCGGCGGGAACTAAACCCACCGGACGGCACAAAGTGGCCACTGTGTTTCGCTGTGTTGTTTTCGGAATGCGATTTGTGATTTGCGGAGCGGCGTTGCCCGAAATAGGGACGCCGCGCCGGAACCTGACGCATATGTTATTATGGTGCGAAGCCTCGGTGGTGTGTGTGTGTGTGTGGGGGGGGGGGCTTTCCGCGAGCACTTTCATATCCCCGAAGGCCCTCTTAACGGACAGGGGGTGGTGAGAGTTCGGCCTGGGACCAAAGGTGTGAGCGACCAGTGTACACCCGAAAAAATGACTTCTCGGATCGAGAAAAATTCAACTTTTCTCTAGAAAAATTTTCTTCGTCGAAACTTCTTTCTTGTATGAAGAAAAAACTTCTTGGCAGAACAACGTAGCCTATTTTCAATGGTTTTCCCATGTGACTCACACCCTTACGCTCGACTGCCGCCATTTTCCGTTTTAAAAACAGCGGGAATTTTCGCAGTGTCCACCCCAGGCCCTTCGGCGTGGATGCACCGGCGGGGCGGGGTGTTGGGCAGCGCTGAGGGGGCCTAGTGCCGGCGGGGACCGGTACCCGTCCTGTTTGTGTTTTTAGGTCAGTAATCCCAAGGTCGTCGAAGGGCCGTCGACCTCCCGGGGTGTAATGGAGTCGTCTGGGGGGCCGAGGCGCCAAAGCGGAAACACAGTGTGCCACTCTGCGAATCGGCCGGGCCGGTAATGCCGGATAATCCCCCCCCCTGGCAACGGCCCGGCTGGGAGCGAGGAGTCCAAGCGTCGAGTCATCGAAGAACCAAGTAATCGAGAACTTGAGAAATCGAGACATCGGTGTATCAACAAAACGAGTAATCGAAGAATCAAGTAATCTGAGAACTGAGCAATCAAAGAATCGCGTTCTCGAAAAATGCAAGAATCGAGAAATTGAGAAATCAAGAGATTCAGCTTTAAAGAAACAAACAACACACCTCGTTCGGAGAGCAATCCATTGGTGGGGTCACACGCTCGATTCGGTCCCATTTAGCGACTATGGAGCACAAAACGCGTCTAGAGTTTTGGCCGCCTCCGCCGGTGTTCTGGCCCACTGCGCGCGGTGTGCCGAGCAGTGAGAGGGGGTGAACACGTGTCTCTGGCAATGAAGCGATAAGTCTCCTGTCTCCTGGAGGGATTATGACAGCTCCCTGATGCCCGCCTGACGTCGTCCCCAGGGGGCTGTCCGCGCCATGCTAAGGAGGTTCGACTTTGTCATCGGCCCTGGAAGGAGAGCCACGCGCAGTGAGGCTCTCCATTCTCCATGGTGAGGCCACAATCATTACAGTAGGCCCACTGCTGCCAACTTAATCCGTTTCCGCGCCACAATCGTTATTGTCCGCCCACGAACGTTGGCATGCCAACTTGATCCCTTTTTCATGCATGCGGAAGCTCTCGCGGGCGGCGCGGCAAGTTTTTGAGTTGCAGCCCCCTCGGGGGCCCAAAAAGGTCGACCGCTCTCGCCAACTTGAGCGCTGGCCCCCTGCAGCCGGGCAGGCCGAGCTGGCGGCCACTCCAGGAACTAACAAGCGCAGGGACAGGGCTGTATTCGAGTTTCGAGGGGGGGGGGGGAGAGAGCGAGAGCGAGAAGGCAACGGAAAGGAAAGGGTTCGCCAAGTCGACAAAGAATTCGTCGGCCTCTGTCACAAAGTTTGAGATGTTCCCGCAGGAATGGCACAGCACAGTTCTCATTGCAGGTGGCAAACCTTCACTTCGGTATTTATTTTTTCGCAGTGGACGTCCCCTTTCCCAGTCAGGGCGGTCAGGGCCGGAGCCTCTGTCGCACTCTGCCACCCTGTAAGGCGATTTGGGCGTTGAGTGGAGCAAGTGTTTTATTTCGGGGCTCATGACCCTTCCGTTGCCCCCGTCCCCACCTGTCCTGCCCGTTGTCCCGACCGCAGTGTCGCTAGGGTGATTTCCCCCCCCCCCTTTCATCCCTTCCAGTGCAGGCCCTCGCC